TTTCGACAACCAGCCTTGACGAACAAAGTCGTAGGCAACCTGTCTACGTACTTGTTCGCGGATATAGCCAAGAGCACGGACAAGACGAGCTTGCTGCAACTCGCGTGCTTTGGCAGAGAGAGCATCAGCATCCAAAGACGCAAACGCAGGATCCTTCACGTTGGCCCCAGAGAAAGGATCAAAGTCAGTCAAGACCGGAAGCGAGTACTTGGCCATGACCTTCAGGAGATCCTCCTTATAGGCCGAATGGATCAGCAAGGCTACGACGTTACGAGCCGGATAGTGCACATCAAGTACACGGCTGTTATCCAACCCGATCAGTCGCAGCTTGCGGCGGAAGGCAGAGAGACGGTCACGGTACTTGTTTGGCAAGTAGACATACTCATAAAGAGATCTGTCTACACAAGTACCAGTAGCAGCAGGAGAAGAGACGAGAAAGATGCGAGCAGCGGCCTTACGTTGCTTAGGAGTGATCCTAGCCTTGGGTTTGGCCTTGGCAACCGAGGAGAGTCGGACTTTTTGGACTTACCAAAGGCCTCCGCAGGCGTAGGGTTCTCTTGGCAACTTGAGCCCACTTGGAGCCAGCAGCAGAAGGCGAGACAGAAGAAGAGGGAGCAGCAACCTGATCATCTCCATGACACATCGAAGGGAGAGGCAGCAGATGAGCCAGCTTGGGACTCAAGCTCCAAGATTCTGGAACGGGCGTCAGCCAGCTCCTTCTTGAGGGCAGAGTTCTCAGCGACCAAGGACTCCAGTTGGGCCAAGCGCTCCCATAGCGCTCAAACTTGGCCTGAAAAGCAGCAAACCAAGCAGGAGGAGAAGGAGAGAGAGAAGAAACCGAAGGGACAGGACCGAGAGAGCAAAGCAACATTACCTACTTCTGGTAAAGAGTCAACACCAGAGCAAGAAGGGGGAACAGAAACACCAAAGTCAAAGACAACGTCTTTGTCGAGATCGAGATGAGCTGATCTCGAAGGGTGCTGACGTCATCAACTCGAGATCGGAGCAGGGTACGCGTCATGTCAGCAGGGATCAGAGATGGAGAAAGAGAGGAAAATAACCGCTTACCGGATCGGGTTAAAATTTTACCAGTAGTTTTAGTGCTTGAAGAAAGATGTTCTGACAAAGTTTGGGCTTTGTCTGGTAACTGGTTCTTGGTAGATGACGATCTAATGTCGAGATGATGTTGTTGCGATGTCGAAATGAGGGGAATCGCGGTAGTGGATGTGCTAGAGTTGTCGGAGTGGGACGTTTTTGGTACCAAAATGTGCGTAAAAATATGCAAAGTTGGAATAAAAAAAGAAAAACGCGGTTTAATAGGCCAGGTGCAGAGATTTTTTCAAAAACAGCAAGTGAATTCGAAAAAAATAATAAAAACCGGAGAAAAAGGTGGTTTCTTGGTGTAGTTGGTTATCACGTCTGCTTAACACGCAGACGGTCGGCGGTTCGAGTCCGCCAGAAATCATCATTTTTTTTTTCTTTGCTTTTACTTCTTTTTTTTTTTTTTTTTTTTTTTTTTTTTTTTTTTTCCAAGAAATGTTATCTTTCAATTGCTATAGAATGTCGAGGTATTTATACTTTTTCTTTTCGGTCAAAATATTGTTTTGGGTTAGCTTCTTGACTACGGATTGATTTGTTAGATTAGGAGCAATTAAGAGAAATGCCTGAACTTGAATAAACCATTACA